CATTTCTCTTGCTGTCATAGCCTTTTGCACTCCCTGTTGCCATGCAAGTCTGGATCCTCTCTTCTGCCTTTTTGCTGGCATCCAATGCAGGACTAGTTTTGGCGATCTTTTGTCTGTCATGCACATAACATGACTGAACCAGACGATTTTAAATTATTCTAAGAAATAATAAAGCAAAGTATTTTCATTTGAAACTAATAAAGCTTTGTCCTTTAGCTAACTGCATTTTCATTCAAATACTCGTTCAAAATACTTCATTCAAAACAATGGTGAAACAAAAAAATTATCAGAATGTTGCGCATTTCTTCTACTTCCGTGTTTTGCTCGTTCTTCCACTTCTTTGTTTTGCATCTTATGATTAAATCATTTCAACATATTGGTATTTCAATTATGAAGTACGTAGATCATTTACAATTAAGTCCAAGAACAATGTAGTAACCACCAGAAAGCAATTTTTAATCAGTCAAAAAAGTAATTATTTCACTAAGATGTTATCAAAGCAACATTTATTCATCACTTTTGTCCTTATCATTGCTATAAAAACAAGAAATAACTATCCTTACCAAGGGATGTCTATTCACAGTTCCCTTATACATACAGCAACAAAATATTTCCCTCTCAACTTGCAGGGATACTTAATGACCTCTCCAAATCACAATGCTCTAGGATAAAAGAGTAGATTTCACTCAAGATATATAAAAATGTATTAGTCAGCAAAATTACACCTAAGTTTATCTCTCAATTTTCTAACATGTATAAAGAGAAGCCCTTAAATTTAAATAAACATTAATATTGTTAAAATTTATTTCACAGGTTAAGAGGAAAATTAACTCCAACCAGACATCCAGTGTCTTAAACTGGATTGTCTCCCCACTTTAAAAATAAAAAACGGGCATCTGATGTGTGACACATAATGAAAATGTGATGGGGGGGGGGGGGCATCCCATTTTGTTCTGTTATTATCAAAGAAGGCGCTACTGTACTTAATACATGACCTCAAACATTTCAAATAATGAAAAATGTAGTCATTAATTTTAGAAATATAATGAAGACTGCAATTTTTATTTTATCAAGTCTGACAATATGCTTCAACAGAAGAGGTTCTCTTTAATAAAAATGAGTTGGTAAGATGAGAGAAACCAGTCCTCTGTTAAAACTGTACAAATGATATTAATTAAGCAGCGTTATTATGAAGATATTTCTGTACGGGAATCCACCAGTTTCATAAAAATTACCAACCCTTACTCAAGTCGATCATCAAAAAATATGACACTTAAACAATGTCCATAATACTAATTTGTTAGGTATTAAAACTTAATAAAAAAATTACAAACAGAATACGAATAAATAAAATAAAATTCAGGTTAATACAAAGCTGGGAACTCTTTTCTCACTGGCATGAAGAATGACATAATGTCTATACCTGGGTGGATGCCACTTTGCCTAGAGTCCAGTGTATAATTTTCTAACTTTGATCACCCCAATGTATAGCATTTTTAACACAGTTAATATACAACAAAAATTTCTCTCTCCTAGCATACATATCTGCCATCATACATGAAACTTCTTTCAAAAATGGAATGAATACTCACCTTATCTACAGATTATGAAGATACAAAAGTGTACACCAGCTCATTGCAGTTCTTTTATTATTATTGTTCAATTCAGACTGAGATAGTTTCATCATCAAAAAACCTGTCAACATTAAAACATTATTTACTACAAAGTAATCAATACAATACAGAATTTTAACACTAGTCACAATGAGATGTCTAGAAATCAAATAGGCCCCTTCTAACCTTTCTCCCTAATCACCCTTCTAACTTTCCTCCTCAAATCTCCTCTAACCTCATTTTCTCAACAAACTAAACCTTGAATTTTTGACAGTCTAAAAATGGGAAATGTATGAAAAACCCTTTATTAGAAATTCTATAATAATAACAAGGTTACACCAAACACTATTTCATGTCGGCTGTCGTTGCATGCAATTATTTGTTTCAATATTTCTCCGCGATCAGTGGCCAAAGAACATCCGGAACGACACACACAATTCACGTTATAGATGCACGTTTCCATGCACAACAGTTGGCATATAACTTTGAATACAGTGCTTGAGTACGAAAACTTACTTTTTTGTTGTACTATTGCAGTACTTCAAAAGCATAACACAACCCAACCCAAACATTAACACGCTCCGCGCAGCTGTCACGAAAACAAAACACCACGTTCAGCTTCTGCAGACTCTCCCAAAATTAATCTATGCAGACACCACTGCCAACATGATAGAATTTCCTCCCGTATCACATGTGGAAGATATTTCAGTATGCATCTTCGAAACTCTTAATAACTAGAAGATATCAAACCCTAAATATTTCACGTTCATGATGACCTTCGGGCGATACTGTACCCCGATATTTTATAAACCACATTCGTATTAATGCAGTACACGTAGTTGGCGGCATACTCTCACACCTGTGGTGAGCGCGGAAAACGTCGGATGCAAAAGAGAATCGATGAATTTTCCATAAGGATTATACAATTACGACTGTTAATAGCCAACCATGTGTATCCAAAGGTCTAGATTCAAAATTATAATCTTCAAAGTATTAAACTTTCAGCGAATCGTCTTGCTGTGCTGTTAAGAAACAAATTTTCACAGCGGTACAAGCTTTCAAGCCATTGATTGGTTCGACTCATTTGTCTCCCGCGTATTTCGGTCGGCGCAGCTGAAGTAATTGCTAAGAAAATGGATTGTAAACGAAGTGGCAATAAAAAATTGGTTCTAGGAGTTACAGAATTATCCTTTCACTAGATGTGATGAGCGATATTTATTACATTTCGAAACCCCAATACTTTTCAGAAACTTTTCTTCATTTTTGAATACAAAAATACCATTTCACTATTAGTACATAATGGTGTATAGTATATTATAATTTATAACTGTGTCTGTCCATTGTAATCGATTTTCACAATGGTATGGGCTTCCTCAAAACATTATTTATCATTTAATGATTTACATTAAAAATATTATTAGCCTACTCATGATGCTCTTAATTTGATTGGATTTTATGACCCAAGCAATTCATATTCATCCTGAAAACCCAACATAGCGAAAAGCACACAAACACACCTTGTCATGTCTCTATCCAGTTAAAATTTTTAAAATTCCTCATGTAGTTTAAAGTTTAAAAAATTTTTGAGGTCTCCAGACATTGCTATTATTAGCTTTTATTTTACTTCCTTTTGTTACTAAATTTCAAAGTTAATGTCGCTGTTTTCATGTATTTCATTCCTGCCTACTTTTCATTTTTCTATTTATAATTTGCTATATTACATTTGTTCATTATCTGCACTGTCTTAGGCTGGTTAACTTGTCATCATGCAACTGAGATGAGAAAGTACTTTTGCTTGTGATTTCCAATCTTTCATATTCTGATTCACTATCCATGATTCATAAGGATCATAATTACAATCACTAATAACTTGAGTTATTTGACTTGTTCCAGCGTTGCATCTTAGTTCATTCGTGTTTTGTGGACTCTTCATGCAACACTCGTGTCAAGAAGATTATGTTAATTTTCTTTGAACATCAAATGTTCAAGCAATTATTCACCATGTCATTTTTTCTGCAGTTATATCTTATTCTTACAAATAGTGTTGCCTTGACGTTTCGATTTGCCAATTTTTTGTTAATACTTGTATTCTCAAGATCATTGTCATTTTTATTTCATTTCACAGAAAAGCATAGGTACGGATGGCCTGCAAGCTAAGAAAATATTTTTAAAGACATAGTTGTAAGAAAGTTAATTTTTTTTGTTTCTGGGATTCATTTTCTAGATCAGTGTCAATTAACAACTATTAATAGTCTAAAGCTTTAACATATAATCTTTCATTCTTTCTATTGTTCATTTACAAGATGGTAAAGCAAAATAAAGGGACCACCAATCTGGGTAGCCGAAATCGCTACGGCCCTAGTGATCTCAGATTGAAGGATCACGGGTTTGAATCCCACCTTGGGCATGGATGCATTTGTGATCATCCTTTCACCCCTCATCATCACTTCGTTAAAGAAGTATTAATAATTCCCTGTTCAAGCCGGGGGCCCTTGCCCTTAATGGGATGTGCAGTGGATAAAAAAAACAAGAGTTCATAATCTCCAAATATGATATCACTTTGGTTTTTGAGGGTTCATATTATAAGATTGAATTTTGTTGCAATATACTGTCATTTGGAAATAGGATGGTGGAGTACCTACATTCATTTATTATTTATTCACCACCAGAGGTCAGGGTTCTCCCAAGAGTAAGTTTTTATTCCAGTTCATTCTATTCACTTCATATGAAAATTAAATGAGGCAGTACTAAAGAACATTTGTGTAATATGCTGCCCAAATTATTGGGTCTTATATCAACTACTTAATCCTCCCACCTGATTTTTTTGAGTATGAGCAGATCATGTGGTCATTATCTCACAAGATTAGACTGGTTTAGAGATGCATTAGGTAAGAGGTAAACATTCATGTTAATGCTTTTTTTAAGTCTATAAGTGGGAATGTCACAGATAACTATTTCAGCCTCTGATCTAAGGCTAATGTTCATAAATTTATGTGCTTTGTAAAGAGTCATTATAATTATTTCACACTTTTTACCTTTTTGAAGAGTGTGATAACGAGTTCCACTTTCATACCTTTCCTTCTTTCCTTGCACTTTTCCAAACTATGTCAATAACTACAGAATACATTTAAATATTCCTTTGAATATGTATGGAAAATATCCAGCTTTCTAATTTTTATGACTCTTGGGTGGTGTGGGAGTTCAATTTTATTGGGAAATTTTCCTTTCTTCCAGTTTGTTCAAGCATTATTACTTTTCATTCCATAGATCTTGGTAAATATGGATTTATCTCCTCTGTACTGTGTTTTGAACTATTTTATTGTGTTTCTCAAATTTGAACATTACTGGACAACTCTACATCTTATTGTCTATGTTACCCCACCCTTTCAGGGTTTTCCTGTTTCTCAGAACTTCTGAGGTAACTTGTATAAGATTATCTAGAATTGCTTTTCCTTTCATTAACATTGTCACTCTGAATTTTTAATGTTGAAGTCTGCCAGCGAGTTCAATTTGTACAACTCACTGGTTTCACAAGTTATTCCCAGTTCTCAAGTTTCTGGATCTAGACAGAGTCTTACTAATAAAATTTAATGAAAAACCAATAATCTACAGAGATACATGAAAAGGTTACTAATATTTATCAAAATGATATAATTACTATCACATAAAAATAATGTCAATGAGAAAAATCAGTGGATCCAAAAAAGGGAAGAGTCAATGACTTTGTAAGTTTTAACAATTTTAATACAGGAGTAAAAAAGGTTTCAGGTATCAATATTTACACCCAAAGTACATAAAAAGCTAAAAGTAACGATACTTTAACAAAGAGAAGTTTTTGCTTGTCAGGTAAAGCTCAATATATTAAAGCTTGGCAAGTGAAGAACGTATTTCTAAACAGAAGATTTGCAACTATGGTAGAACACACACAGCAAAAATGATAGTACCACTAACTTATATTAGGGTTCATTTATAATTACTATAAGATGTGAAGTTTAAATACAATGAACTTATTAGAATATCATGGCAAGAAAGTATCTTAAGTATTCCTCGAACTCTTAAGATGTTTTGCTCAATATTTACAAAAAAAGATATCACATTATTATGAAAATCAATATTAGATTACAGTCTTATATCAACTTTTAAATATTGCTCAATATTGCATTATCAGTTTACCAACATACACATCTAAGAAGTCTCATTGGCATAAAAACATTTATTCTTTGTTACAAGGCAAGTATTTAAAATAATGACTCAAGTTGAATTGACAACAAATCCAAATCTCTATCACTAGGCGCAATACTTAATTTCAATGATACAAACAGAAAATAAAGAAAGAACAATCATTTAATCAGGCATTGTGTTTATTAACGGTATTAAGAGACTATCAAAAACTTATAAACAGTACAAATTATATAATTCATCAAATTCTTTTTAACTACTCGCAAGCATGAATTAAACAAGTCATATTTTTCTCAATTATAATATTAAAAATCGTATATGTTCAAACATTGCTACTCATATTTGCACATTTTCTTTCTTTTCACTCCAAAGGAGAGCAAGAAACCAAGAATATGAAATGTTCATTACTTCACTCTTGCACAGTTATCTATATTTTTGAAAGAACAAAACCTTCTGTTTTGCCTGTTATATTCATTATTACATGGTGGTCTCCAAGACAATCGATGTTGCTTTTACCAAAGTTTTAAAGAAAGTTCCTTGATGAAACTTGAGGTCTGCAGTAGTGGAAATGACACCATATTATAAATAATAGAGAAACAGAAAAAGGGAGCAATGAACAACTAATAAAATTTATCATCATGGTAATTGAACAATTCTGCACCATGGTTTCAATTACCAATGTCTTCAAATTTGCTTGCCATGTTATTGCAATAAGCTCAACTACTTAATCAGCCTTGCTATAGATAACATTCCCAATCCACATGGTGGAAATTATAGCTCTTCTTAAATATAAGAAAGTCCAACAATATTTCATGTTTAGGAAAATAGTTCTTATGTACATTCCAATATAATACATAATATAAATTTAAATCATTGTGTATTATACACAAAACTATTCAACCATAATATCTTCCTTAAAATATGAACAATTATTTTACAAATTTTAGAACCAATTGTTTACTTTGAATAGTTATTAATTATTGCCATTACCAGCAATTCAAACGAAACACTCATCTTTGGTATTATCCAATCATTCGTATGAAAACAAAGGAAAGGTAGCAAATGACAAAATATTTGAATTTATGACTAATTAAAAAGATTTCAACAAGAAATATACTATTTTTGTGGCAAAAAGGATATTAATTACTCCTGGATCATCCTTCCCGACTTTAAAAAAAATTATGGCATACAATCCAATGCAGCATATAAGTTTTTACATATTATTTTCATACAAGTTGAGTACTCACACATGCGAAAACTCTCTCTCTCTCTCTCTCACACACACCCTCTCTTAAATCTGACAAGAATGGGAGAATAAAAATTACAATCTCTTGTTAAAGCTTCCGAGGAATGGTTGTCAGTAAATGGTAGAAAAATAATGTTCATTAATATGAAGGGGGAAAAATGTCATTGAAGACATAGGAATGAAACTATTTAATGTATACTTCAATAATAAGTAGAAGTACTAAGAATTAATTCACTAAATTAACAAATTAGTAAAATATAGCCAACATTCATTGTGAAAAGAAAACAAAACAAAATCTCATAGTGGAATTAACTCGTATATATCACACATAATAATATTTCTCTGTAACACACACCAATACATATCCACACCCATCCCCTTATAACACACACACACACACACGTACCTGTACCTGACATATCAGCCATGTGTTTGCAAAGGCAAACATTTGCAGTGGAAAAATCTAACCCTATAGGCATGCTCTTTTGTGAAGTTAGCCACATTGTTTACACAAGTGTTTCAACATCCTTCCTACATTTTCTAATGAAACTATTCTTTTTCTTTAGAACTGACTATTGAGTACAACTTTTAGCAATATTAATGTGAGATGCCTACTTGAACTTTGCAAATGTTAAAAATAGTGTACTTCACGTTAGAAAGGAATGGTTAGATAAATCACTGTTCTTTCCATTTAATATCACTTCTTTGATTTCCATTTGCTAATCTACTAAATTAAAAAAAATTAAATGCATTATGTATTTTATGCAAATGAAACTATCATTACTTCATATCTATATATGAAGATATAACAGTTACCACAGTGTAAGTCTGATATTTTACATATTTTCACACATTAACAATGCCCAGTACAAAACTCCCAAATAAACCAATTTAATTATTTCACACTAATGTTTTTAGTAGACTGGGGTGTAGGAGGCATAAAATCACAAACTTCACACAAGACGGGACAATTTGTGCCTTAAAAATAGTGTCCTTATACTTAAGAACCTGTTACACAATTTAGCATTTCAGCATTTAAAAAAATCTCATGTACAAAACTTCATTTTTGTGCTTATGTGCAATATACTCAAAGGCTGTACAGCGCAATATAATCTAGGACTATCATCCCTGAGATAGTGGACAAAGATGTTATTCACAGTAATTTTATAGGATATGCCATTACCTGGAAGCTTTTATTTATAATCAACATTACTTCAAACAAGTTATAAATAAAACGCACCAGAGGATTTGTTTTATTTATGCACTTTAAATCTTTAAGTATTTCTTAAATCTAAAGCTCAGGTTTTGCTAAAGCTGGACTAACATATTATTATAAACCCAATTATCATCATCTTTGTGGAAAAAGACAGTTGGAAATGATGTACCTTCCTCATGACGAATTCTTTCTTCCAGTCTTTGGCGTTCTTCTAGCTGTAATGAAATCATAAAACAATATTTATAAGTTTATGATACTTCAAGTATATTAATCATTAATTAATACATTCAAAGTACACAATCTTGAATAAAATTTTAAAGTTATTATGTACATACTTGGGTTAAAAAGGGTTAAAATTTGTATGTACTTGGGTTATTAGAGATTTGAACTTTAAACATTAATTCAAATCTCTAAGTTGTCATAAAATGTATTTTCATTATTGACTTCAAACTCATTATGCAAATGCTACATTTCACATTGTGAAGCTGACCTGGGGATTCTTTTGTCATGTCATATCAAAACCCACCTAGGAATTTTTACAGTGATAGTTAATGGCACATTAGTTCATATGCAAAATTTTAACTGCCAAATAAATTTTTGGTACTTTAAATCTTTTATCACTGCACTTTTAGATCTTTTTATCACTGCAAATTCAAGTCAAATGCTGAAACAAAGTTGCTTACTGTTCAGCTGAAGCATTTTTTTAAATGCAGATAAACAATATTAATTCATCATGTTTTAAATTGGGATTTGACTGCTTTTTATTTTCAGTTAAAGTTGGAAAGCAAAAAAATTCAAGAGTGTACTTGAGATCTGCCAAAAATAGTGGCTCTTGGTTCACCACTTGGGGAAGGCATACAGGATATAAAAGTGATCATGCACCATTTTTTGTCACTTTTGGGAAAATTAGGTTCATAGTGTCACCACCATCCATTCAACATGACACACATGTTAACATTTACCATGTAATAGGTCAGTGCACATTAGTCACATGCATGACAAAAATTGGTGGCCATTCTTGAGGAGCACTTGCCACTCCAACTACAAGGTTTGGTCCAACATTTTTAAGAAATACTTGAAAGAAATCTCTTTCGATCTTTCGATAATGTTATTTATAATACTGAATTTGTTTTTCCACTTTTTTATTACTGTATTACTGAAAACGATATGCTCCCTTTAAAAGACCAGTTTAATATCAATATTTAGGTACTACAAGCTCAAGCTTGAGCCAAACAGTACACAACTTTCTAGGAGTATCTTGCATCAATAGGCTCTGGATAGAACCAAACAATTTACTTTTTTAAGCAGTTAAAACAAAATTTCAATGGAATACTTCACATTATATAAATTCTTGTGTATTACCCTCTGCAAAATGAATAGCACCTTTGAATTAATCCTTCGACACTCAACACTTCGTTTACAGGCAGTTTTGAAACGACACAAAATTTCATTGAACTTTTTACAGGAAGTATAAATTCCTTTCAAGCAGAAAATGATTCAGCAACAATTAAAGCAATACTTACCTCTCTTTTATATTCTGTGGCTGCAGTTATATTTCCTGACTGTAATGCCTGAGTTACATTATACCACAGTTTCCTGGACTCAAATTCGCCTTGTTCTGAAAGTCTGCGAACCCTCTTTTGGAAAATGCGCAAATTATTTACATCTACACGTCTTGATTCACCCTGTAAAAACATAAATGACATTCAGCATCATGTAAATTAAGAAGTTGCTTGGTGGTTATTAAGTGCACAAAATATGATGAAAGTGATTTGACACCAAAATGAACAGAATTTAATTACAATTATACCACTAAGTCAAAATGTATTGTTATTTTCTGTTAATCTTCCTATTTCTCATCTTCTACCTCTACTGGAAATGTGATTTTATGATTTTTATATTCTAAGAACACAAAACTGTCTGCTTTAATACAGGTTGTTGTGAATTCTACAATTTAATTCTGTAGAATAGATGTGCTCACCACAGAACACTTCTGTTATTAGTTGAATAGCTGCTTTACACACAACTACAGGATAAAAAGGAATTCTCTACTCTGGTTACAATGTAAAAAAATTCTATGCAGATGCCAGAGTACAAGTAAGACGACAACAACAAAAACAACAAAAAGCCCGAATTCAGCAAGATTATTCTTTCTGTGTTCTACTATTCCTAGGATGTGGTATTCCTTAGTGATATATGGTCAACGGAGGTCTTTATGCATCTCTAATTGCTCATATGAAATATCTTTAAGGATGCCAATGACCCCAGTACACCACAAGGTAGACATTTCAAAATAAACAAAATATTAAGTGGTTTCCAACAAAATCATAAATTTAATAAATTGAAATTAATATTCATTTATTAAAAGCCTATTCATCAATATCAACAAGGATAATGATCTTGTTCAATTCAGTCTTGAATTTTATACCAATTTTACTACATCACTCGTGGGTTGTATTGTATTGGGATGGCAAATAAGTTAGTTCATTTTTACTTTCTTGCATACGTATGTATATACAGAGTACATATATAGTTTTGAGAAAGTTATGTAATGCTGAGAAAAATCAATTTCAAAATTTCAAAGCAAGTGCACGTTTTGGGAGTCCTCTGATACTGAAAAATTGTGTTTTTTTTCAAAACATCAATCTGTCCATCAGTTAACATCACTAGTGCCTAAACCATACATAATGGATAATAACCAAACATAAACCATACATAATGGATAATAACCAAACATAAACCACACATAAATAGATGTTCTCTAGTCAATCTGGCTCGAAAAAAGGCACTGTGATTTTGAAAAACTGTCAAATTTGGGGGTAGTTGACATCAAGCCCCCAGGACATTTTCAACATATTCTGAAAAACGGCTAAATTTTTTTTAAACTTCCTTGAAAAAATGGAATAAAGTACACTTATAATGGTGGCATAGGTCTCATTTTCTCGGCGAACTCTAAATTTTCGAAAACTGCAAAAGTTCGAATTTTTTTGGCATTTTCCTACTACTTCAAAATTGAAAACAGAGATTTTCCCTTCTGAAATTCTTTGTCCATTATTAGTTCTTTTGTTAAGGTAATGTACATTTTTTTGAAACTTTTAGTAGTTTTTGCACAATATTGCACGCAATATTTTCAATTTTAAAAATTTACAAAAACAAGACTTTCTCAAAACAGCTACAAATTTTTACTTCAAACTCTTGGTAAGGATAGTGCTAAATATACTCTATATGATGACAAAGGCCATATTGCTCTATTCTTTTGTTTTTTCAAAAATTACAAAAAAAAATAAATATTTTCTTCAGTTGTCTCATGATGTTGATTGAACTTCACTTGTCTCATGAATTGACATTAGTGTCAATTTGTTCACATTATTGCATTTACGAGTACATGTGCTTTAAATAATGTCATATAAAGTTTCTCGAAAAGAGTAGTTTTCTGTTACAATGAGCTCAAAATTCCGCATCCTCAGAAACGCACAAACCCCATTTCCACAAAAAGTTTTGATGTATTCTTTGGTTTGTTTTTTTGTTTTTTTTGGAGGGGGGTAATATTTCTCACGCCGTTAATATGGACATTTTCAGCGATCTGTAAACACTATTGCATTTGTGAGTTAATGTGCCTCAAATTACTTTAAATGAAGTTTTTCGGAAACTCAAACATTTTCTGTGAAAAAAGCTTCAAATTTCGTGTTTACAGTAAGACTTAAACGGCATTTTCTTAAGAACGGCTCCAAATATTTCAATGAAAATGTCCATTAGGGTCGAGATTTTACTCTTTTTTTATATTCTTAAAGTAATATTTTGGTTACACCATAACGAAATCGAAAAAATGAGAAAATGTATTTTAAAAAAGTACTTCAGGCGGCGATAGATGGCAGTTGGCAAGAGAATGAGGCAAGACCGTATAGCCAGTCCATACCACAGAAGTTAAATAAAAATTACTACGTCTGTGCCATTCTGTTAGCACTAGTTATTTTCTCGAATACGTACGTATATACGTAGTAATATAGAGAAAGTTATGTAATATTGCGGAAAATAGGTTTTGAGACTTCAACATAAACACACGTTTTGGGGTCCCCCGATACCGAAAAGTGTTTTCTTTCTCTCCCCCCATCCCAAACAGGAGTACTTTACAAGTGAAGCCCATTGAGCATTTTGAAAATTTTCTCAAAAACATCTCCAAATTTTTTATTTACCTTTCTTGTAAGAATAGAGTAAAATACACTTATAAAGGTTGCATAGTTCTGATCTTCACTGTTAACTCTGAATTTTTGAAAATTTCAAATGTTGGAATTTTTTCGGCGTCTTCCTACAACTACAATATTAAAGATAAGAGATTTTTCCTTCAAATGAAATTCATTGTCCATAAATTGTTCATTAAATTATGTGCATCTTTTTTTTTAAAAAAATAGTAGTTTTTGCGCAATACTGTGTTCAATATGTGCAATTTTAAATATAGCAAAAACAAGATTGCTAAGTGTACGGGGATGATGACCAGCATTCTTAGGAAGTTACAAATTGATTGTTTGCTGCAAAAAAGTTATATTATTGGAAAAACTAGCTTTCAAAATTGCTTCTCGTGACGAGCCAAGTTAAGTTTCTTCAAGAAAGTGAGAATCGTCATAATTACGAGTATTAATGCCGCAAATATGTTGAGCAGTGAGAATGATTGTAGTCTTTGTCACCCTAACGTGTCACCTGATAGGAGTAATAAAGAAACTGATCAAGTAAGTTTGTCTTGTGTTTCTTCTGCTGTTTTCACTCATCGTTTAGTCTTCTCCTCTCTTCTTGAAGCAAAAATAAAATTTGACTGGGAGTTTTCATTGTCCAGTGTATTTTTTTTTTTTTTTTTTTAGAAAATTATTCTTTCTTAATTGAAAAAGTAATTCAGTGACTGCTGTGAATCAATGTCTTGGCTACTCTGCATCCTTTCGTGCTATGCTTCAGAGAAAGCAAAGAATTAAAAAAATACTTGTCGTAGGCTTCCGCAGCCAGAGTCATGATCTGTGCTGTCCGAGTGGCGCCGCGTCGCAGGCTGTTTCGACCGACATATCGCGGTCTTCTTCAGGGATGTAATGCGAACACTACACTCGGTGGCGTTCTAGCAGACGCAGCATAGCAAGTAGACATTTCTATTGTATTTAATTTCTCAGATTCATCTCGGAGCCCAACTTTGTAACTTACCACACTTGTGTAGAACGTTTTAGAGATAACAATGGTATATTTTTCAAAAATTTAAACTTTTGGTTTTTGGAAAAAATTAAAAAGGTTAAAAATTATTATTAAAATATTTAATGAATTCAATACATACAATGAAAGAGCACCTTTTTTTCTTTAAAGTCGCAAAATATTAAATTTCTGTTACAATTACAACAGAAATTAAAACTGATTAACTTTAGCGATGCGAGCATTTAATCGAATATTTCGAAAATTAATTTAATCTCGAAAAACAATATTTGGGAAAAAATAAATAACACGTGTTTCATAGTTTTGCTCATACTCTCCTTAACAGAAAAAATATTTAAAACCTGGGACAAAGTCAAAATTTCCTTAAATTTGTGCAATTTGACGTCGAATGACCCATATACAAAACACAATGAAATTTTCACACTTTCGTTTATTTAATTCTTCGTAAAAATGTCATTGTGTTTTGTATATAAGCCAACTAAAAACAGGAGTCAATGATATATTAATTATTATTATTATTATTATTATTATTATTATTATTATTATTATTATTATTATTATTATCATTATTATTATTATTATTATTATTATTAAAAATGGTTATAAATTTATAACTTTTTAACTTTGTTATGTTTAGTGTTTGATTGAGGGCATTTAATCCTTTTTATTTCATATCATACCCGGTTTTTGTGTTATGAAAATACACTTAAAGAAAAAATATTCAACTGTCCGGATATATTAAGAACATCTGGCAACCGTAGAAACAACCATGTATAGAGAGAAACTAAGCATTTGCTTTAGGACTGGAACCCATTACTGCATGAGAAAGTCGGGTAAATAAAACCACAAAAAAATTCTAAACCACAGAAACAAAATATGCCTAAACAATGCTAGAAGTAAGCTTTATTTAAAGCATATGATCAATATGTGTGTCATCAACGGCAATTAAAATTTGAAAAGGCTTCAAAAGTAAACTTCGGGCGGAGCAGTTTTGGTGAAATGATATCACAAGTTGCAACAGTGCGAGGTTTCAGAGCCCCATGAACTGTTCGAGCTAGTGCGTACACGTAAACACCATTCATTTACTTTGTTTATCAGCCTTTTATCTACAATATCCAATAGTATTACCCCCTCCTCCCTGCTCCCGTGGTGACAGAATGGCTTCGCCGCATGCCACCTGTTTCCTCGCGGTGGTGGCGGGTTATTCGAGTCTCAAAGTACACGTTTCTTCACGCTTGTTATCATACACTAAAGGAAAAATATAGGATTCCATTTAAAAAATCGAGGTTGAGCCGATATCTCCGAAAAAAAAAAGGGATGTAGAAAAATAGTACACATCTCTGCATGTGCCCCTCGCGTATATTCGTTTGGTGAAAACCGCATCTCAATATGTACAACAGTTCAGGAGATATGAGGGGAATATCTTTACGTAACCATTATCAATACAGTTGTATCAGGACTGAGTGCACAAACTTACAGTGAATAAAGGGAGCCAATGCAA